TTTTTTTGGTTCTTCTATTGTGAGTAAATTAACAGAAGATTTATTTCCATTAAAGAACTATGAAAGGTTATATAGTCTATAATACCTCCTGTTTCTTCAATAAAATACATAAAGAATAATATCAACTTTGTCTATCATCTACACTATTAATATTTGTTTTAACTATGAATAATCACTTCAACAAATGATTGTACTTTGATTATTATCATTTTACTTTAATTATAATTGTCTTAACAAAGTGTGTGTATTGATTCAATAAAGATATTGTAATATAAATAAGATTTATAATACTACAAAAGAAATATAAATTTGAAAAGTATCTCATATATCTTTTCTTGATTATATATCATTTTCATTTTAATAACGAATATTTATTAAATACAAATAAAGTATGCTTATTCAATGATTATTAATTGGTTGTAACTAATGATGTTGATTAAGAGATGAAAAACACTAAGACATTTCTTTTAATGGTTTGAATAACAAAAAAATAAGAAAAATGAACTTAAAAAACAAAATAGATATTTAAGAATGACAAGTACGTCAGACCTAAAAGAGCAATATGAACAAGCAAATAAGATGAAAATTGCCACATTACCAGAACAAATTACACCAATATCTGAAGAAATAAAAGAAAAAATAAAGAAAATGTTTGCAAGAGAAAAAAGAACAAGAGGATTAAAATATATGATGCATGGGAATGACAATCTTCTTCGATTAAAAGAAGAATTATTTGAAGGATATAATCTTGTTGATTCAAAACAAAAAGAAAACAAAACAATAAAAACACAAATAACACATGATGATAGTTATTATATTATTATGCCATCTGTTTCTGCTCCTTTAAATCTTGATAACATTCAACAATTCATTAAACAAACAAAATATATTAAAAGTTCATTATGTGATACAGTAAATGGTGTTGTTGATATTACATATCAAGGAGTTGTATATCATTTTATTAATAAACCAACAAATGATATTCCAAAAGACAGAATTGTTGCAGTATTTTTAATTGATGAAGATTGGCAATTTGAAGATTTACCATTTAAAACACCAGAAGAATGTACAAGTAAATGTTGTTGTTTTTATGTTTCATTAAATCATCAACAACTTCCAATGAAAGTATGGTTAAGACATGCACAAATACTTCATGTTTGTTTAATTTATAAACAAATTTTCTTTTAAAGAAGAAGAAAATTAATAAAGTAGCTTGAAACAGATAATAAAAGAAATTGGGAAGAATGTATTAATAATTTTTGGAGTACGTTGAGAAGTTTTATACATAACAAAGAAAGAGAATATCGTAGGTATTGATATTGATTTGTTTTGTTTTATCTTTTCTAAGTTCTATTTCATTAATAAGAAGAAAAATGAAAAAAATAATAATAGTAGAAGAGAACTTTTAATTGTTTTAGTTTTAAATGACGGTTAATTCATTCCAAATAACTAACCAATTGGGATTCCCTTTATTAGTTATAGCATCAGAACAAGGTATTCGATTTGTTAAATATAAATCAGAATATTGCTGTCCGTTACAACATATTTTATTTCCAATTGAAGGAGTAAAACAAGCTTTTTTATTTAAACAATATGTCTTGTATTTCACTCACTCATACTCAAAAACAAGTTCCCCTAATAGATTACTTTTCTTTAAAATAGAAAGTAATCTCTTTGATGGATTGGAAAGTCCAAAAGAATATCATGCAATAATTAATCAAAAAAAATTAGATGACATTGACTTAGTACAAATACCATTAAATTCAAAAATTATTGCAATGAAAAATGTTGGAGAAGAATATATTATTGTCTTATGTCTTAATATGTTATTTTGTTTTGATAAAGAAATGGAATATGTCTTTTCTATAGAAGTTAATCATCCTACTGGTATTACTGCATCACAATCAAGTATTAATATAATGTATGTTTCTGACAATCATTATTGTGTTGATGAAAAAAAAATTATGGATAATAAGACACTTAATAACATTAGGACTTATCAAAACTGTTATTGGAGAGAAACAGCCTCATTAATGGGTTATTCAAATGAAGAATATACCATCACGGCTATGATTGTTTCTTCTTCTATTGAAATTAAAGTATTACAAGGAATTAATGAAAAAAAGAAAATTATTATTACTAGACCATATGACCCAACCATCCGATTTGTTGGTGTATATGGTAAAGGAAATAATAGAGTTATATTTATTGGAATAAACAACTATATTTATAGTACTATTATATCATCTGATAATCCCAAAATAAATAAAAACGAAACTAAAGAACCATTTAGTTTTGGAAAGTCAAGTAGTCTTATTACTTTTGGAAAAAAAGAATCAGAAACACAATGCTATGTAAATATTTTCCATGGAAATGTTCAAACAATCTTTAGTTATGATTTTCTTACTAATAAACTTCAAAAGGAAATGACAACGATGATTGGCAAACTTTAAAATTTATTTTTTATTTAAAATTTCCATTGTTGTAGTAATTTAGGTTAAATTGAAGTTAACAAATTTGAGGTCAAAACTCTTTTCATCTTCTTATTTCAATTAATAGTATGAGTCAAGACTATCAACCTATGTTAGTCTCAATGAGTGAAATCACTCCATCTTTACATTTATCTCTTTTAAATAATAATAATGATGCGGTTTGAATAATTTTCTTTTATTATTTTGTTAAAATGAATTAACGTTAATAGCATGCCATAGATTCTTTTATTGATCAAATTCTTAAAGTAAAGTATATTCCATTACCTGTTGTTACGTTTGTTTTTATGTTAATAAAACAATGAAAGTTAATGTTTTAAATGTAATTTTATATAAAAAAAAATTAACAAAGTATTAGTGTTGGTGCGTTGAGTCATTGTTATAAAATTATTTTTGCATTTTGGAAAGAATTAAATAAAGCAATTTCTTTTGGGTACTCTTCTCAATCAACTACAATTGTTATGTCACATATTTCTAATTGTGTTTCATAGTTTGTATTTATTAATATTCATTTATCTTT